TCTGTAAGAACGGCACCCCCGCCCCTAGTCGAGGCTCCCGTACGATCGAATGAATCGACTGCCATACTCGAGCTGACCAAAACCTTGGTTAGTCGAATTCCGGAAAGCAAAAAGGAGCAGCGAGAACAAAATGCTCGGTTGGAAGCCATGATGAGAAACATGCGGCCTATTGCGGTGCGTGCCCCTCCGATTCAGCAAGGGGTAGCCCCGACACCCGCTCTTGGAGGAGTCGCAAGCAACCTAAACGTCTGTTATGCATGTCATCAGCCTGGACATCTAGCCCGTGATTGCCCTCACAGGCCTCCGCAACAGCGTATCGGGGTCGCGCCGATGGCTACGGCCCCCATCGCTAACGGACCACGACGAGTTGGAGCTTTGATGGAAGAAGTAGACGGTGGGGGGAGTGCCCTAGCCACCACGGAAGAGGCCGCCGAACTAATCCCGTTAGATCAGTACGTATCACTTGGTTACCTCGGGCTTGGAATGATCGGAACGATCAGACCAGCGCCAGAACAGAAAGAGGTGGCGGAGTGGCGACCTTCTCCAGGAGAGATGGAGTCGGGAGGACCCACCTTCGTCACCGGGGAAGTCGATGTGCTTAACATCGTTCGAGCCTTGGACCATCGGATTCCGCTCCCGATCGGTCATTTGTTTTTGATCTCGGAACAAGCTAATGAGCGAATGCTACAGCACTGCAAAGCGAATCGAAAACGATTCGCCCTCACTCGAACACCTAACGTAAAGGCTAAAAGCCCCTCGCCAGAAGAAAATATGGCGGGCTCGTCGGATCCAATATGGGTAGGATTAATGCAAAAAGACGACCATTTCCTACGGATTAAACCCATCCCGTGGAAATCTGCGGAATGCGATATTGAAATATGGGGAATTCCGTACAATGCAATCATCGACTCGGGAGCCGCTGTTTTGGCTATCTCGATGAGAGTGGTCGAAAGGGCAAGTAGGAAAAACGATCTGATCATGCTTTCCGAGAAAGATCAACTCGTTTCGGCTGCCGAAAAAAAGATTAAAACAGTAGGAAGAATGACCAATGTCGCTTTTCGACTAGGAAAAGTGCATGCGCTGGGAGATGTTGTCGTGTTAGATGTAAATACCTACGACGTTCTTTTCGGACTTCCTGCTCTTGTGGCGTTACGAGCAAACCTGGATTTCGAACGACGGTCGATCGTCCTCCGAAATAGAGGAAGAAAGCCCTATGCGGTGCCTATGAGACTAACCCTTCGTACCACCATCAACGAAGTCCCACGGGTTTCGCCGATGATGGCAGGAACTCTCCGCATGATCTCCTGGGATGAATCCGCAGATGGAAAGTCATCGACGAATGATGCGGACAAAAGTGATGAGGACGACCCGGAGATCTCGAAGCTAGCACGATAGCGTGTTTACTACCTGCAAGAACAATGCATTTGACCAGTAGGAACGTCCAAAGGACCAAGGCAATGATCTTGGGTGAACCCCTTCGAGGATGGTCGATTCTTTGGAACCCCCCCAAACTCTGTACGAAGGGATCACCCCGCTTCTCTCCCGATACAGCGACAAAAGCATTACTGCGACATTACAGATCTACCAAGGTCCCTTTTGACACTTGCAAAAGAAGTGCAATTGTTACGCTTGGGGGCGGAAGCAAATTCTCTGGAACCCCCTGGGCGTCTTGAAGCAGAAATAGACGAACTAGGGATAAAGATCGCAACTAAGAACGTGCCATGGCAAGATATTTGTGACGGGATTACCCCGGAAGGACACGTGGCAATCCGGGAAGAAGATGCCCAGATGATGGCCACGATGTTCTCCTGGCGATCGGATCACTCCTTCATTTCTGCACCCCCGCCCGATTTGGCGAAACCTGCACGCACAAAACAGATAGATGTACGGATCTGGGATCAACTTTTCGACTTACACGTGCCACAGTACGTACCCGATGAAATTCATCGGGTGATTGCAGACATTTTGACGGAATATTGGGGAGCGATTAGTGTGACAGACACTGACATTGGCCTGTCATTAGTTATTCAACACGAAATACAGACGGGAAATCACTCCCCGATCCATTGTAAACCGTACCGATACTCCCAAATAGAAAGCAAAAAGGCCCTCGAACGAATTCGAGAATTTGAAGCTTGCGGATGGATTGAACCCGCCACCGTCCCATGGTCATTTCCCGTCGTACTAGTACCAAAGAAAAACGGATCAATCCGCATATGCATCGATTATCGCAAGCTGAATAAGATCACGATCAAAGATGTGTACCCCCTCCCCCGAATTGATGATTTGTTGGATGCGATTGGCTTCGCTAAATATTTCAACAAGTTTGACATTCGACATGGCTTCCATCACATTCTGGTGAAGGAGGAAGATCAGCCGAAGACGGCCTTCGTGTTGTTTGAAAGCACGTGGCAGTGGGTTCGGTGTCCGATGGGGATTTGCAACGCGCCTGCCACGTTTCAGCGAGCGATGAACATGACATTCTAGAACTTCGTCAACAAGACGCGGCTGACACAGGGGATGATCAACTTCTGCGTGATCGTATACATGGACGATATCCTTGTCTACTTAGAGACCTATCACGGGCACGCGCAATACATCGAGTGGACATTGGGAGCGCTGAGAGACGCTGGGTTCAAGATCGCGCTCGAAAAGAGCGAATTTTTCCTTTCAGAATTTTCGTTCTTAGGCTATGTCGTGACACGTGGAGGACTGCGGCCGGACTCAAGAAAGGTTGCGGCGGTAAGAGAAGCTCCAGTTCCCACGTCGCTGACGGAGGTTCGAGCCTTCTTAGGATTGGCATCGTACTATCGTCGCTTCATTAAGGGTTTCGCCGCGGTTGCACGGCCACTAACGAACCTGTTAAGGAAGGACCAGCCTCTCAGCTGGGATGCGAAGTGCCAACAGGCTTTCGCAACCCTCAAGGACGCTCAGGTGACGGCCCCTATTTTGATTCGGTCGGACCCCTCGAAACATTTCATTCTCATCACAGACTGGCAACCGGAAGTTATCTCCGCTATTTTAGCGCAGAAGGGGAATGATGGTCGTGAACACGTCATCGAATACGCGTCACGCACGGTACCGGACGAACGGAGGAATGACTCAGCACCTCAAGGCGAATGATATGCAGTGGTCTAGGGAATCCAGCACTTCCATCCGTATTTCTACGGACAGAAGTTCCGCCTCGTAACAGATCACGAACCTTTGCTGGCGTTGAAGAAACTCACTAATTACACAGGCATGATTGGTCGTTGGGCGGTGCGACTACAAGAGTATGACTTCGATATCGTTCATCGAAAGACAAAACGACACGGCAATGCGGACGGACTGACACGTCTGCATCGACCTGCCAAAGTGCCGAAGGGCGAGGAAATTACAACGTGGAAGGAGTCGGACTTGACAAACGAGCCTAAGTACGGACAAGTGGCAGTTCTCCCGCGTGGCAAGAAGCAGAACGGTGGCAATGGATGACGGAGGTAACCACACTACCCCTCTTTCTCCCCTTTCCTCTTCGTCTCTCCTCTCCCTGCCTGACAAATTTTGCTATTTTTGCGAAGCTATCCCCCGCGTGTACTCGGTTTCCATGCGTCATAACGGGGAAGGGTATGCGGACTGGATAGATTGTCGACAGTGTGTTGCACGAGCCCATGGCTCGTGCATCCAATACAGAAACGATAGTAAACCGTGGTTGTGCCCCTTGTGTCGGACCGACAAGATTCCGACCGAGACTCGCTTTTTGGATGCCACGTCAGAAGGGTTGGAAAAGACCCGAAGGTTTAGAAGGGCCGAAGTATGAACTGATATCGCCTTGATTGTCACCCTGGTTGGCAACCCCCTCCAGGATTTCACCAAAGAAGATCGGAGGAGGGTCAACGAGAGGGCTCGCGATTACAGATGGATAGAGGGCAGATTAGAAAAACGAAAAACTGACGGCAGCGGGATTTGGATGGTTGTACCGCATCCGTTCATGAGGTATGACTGGGTTAAGACGGCACATGAAGAAACTGCGGCTCATTTCGCCGTACGGATCACAGAGTCGGCTATCGACAAAAATGAGTGGTACTGGTCCAATATCCGCGACGATGTTAAGTACATCGTCACCAACTGTCAAGTCTGCGCCGCTGATAAGGCGCCGATTCAGCCGCCAAGATCGATAGTACCAACGGTAGTTGAACGGCCATTTCAAAGAGTCAGTATGAACACTACCGACATAGTGGTGCCCCCTGGTCCTAATAGTTGTGAGTATTTAGTCCTATTGGTATTTGTCGACCATTTTTCGAAATGGATCGAAGCCCACCCTTGTCGCACGCGACAAGCCGCCGAAATCACGTGATACGTCAACCGCTTTCTCGGGATGCACCAGGATACGGAAGAGATCCTGACCGACAATGGGGCTCAATTCAAGGGAGAAGTGCTAAGGAATCTGGTCTTACATGGCGTCGCTATACAGAATACTGCACCCCACATGTCGCAATCCAATGGGCTGGTGGAAAACGCGAACAGGGTGATAAAGACAGCATTGCGGCGGAATATCGCGGCACGAGATCCGAGGCCCTGGCCCGATATCGTCGACCACATCCTAGCGGTCCATCACGGTACACCTCATGAATCGACGGGGCTAAGCCCCTTCCAATTAAGGACCAATAGCGTCGCTTGCGTTTCGATACCAAGCCTACCGGATGAATCCACACTGAACCGACGACCCACCAGGGCCACGGCTCGGGACAAGGCCAAACGACACTTGGAACTAATGGAACGGTCCTTGCCCAGGCTAGCCCGAAAACAGCACAGGATGACCGAATCGGCCCAAGGCCGACAGGTCCGAAGCTACGAGGCCCGGAATGGGAACGGAGGACCACGGCCCCAGTACAAATTCGGGGACATCGTGCAGGTGAGGAAATGTGCTCGCCAGGGTAAGCTAGCGCCACGATTCTTCGGGCGATTCCGCATAATCGAACTAGGACCGAACGTCGTGAACACCGTGCGGCTTGCGCCTGAGGTCTCCGGCAGCAGATCGGCTCGCCCGATCATCCGCCACGTGTCCTACCTCCGTCCCCTTCCTCCCTTTCTATCTTCACATTCACCCGATTCCTCCTCCACTGCGGAGGAAGGTGAGGACTACCTCTCTCCTATCTCTCTGTCTCCTTCCTGTTCTCTCTCTCTTACCCCGTCACCATCGCCATGAGCTTTGCAACGGAGCAAGTGATCGGCGCGCAGCTTCTTACTCCGCGGGGGCGAATCAGCGCCATACGGCAGGTGCAGCGGCCCCATCTCTGCTCTGATCTCCTCCGGTTTGCAGCTTTCTTCAGTATGTCGGCAATCTACGCAGCGGCAGAGTTCCGATTCACGGAAGAAGCAACTACGAGCGTTCTGGCCGAGATCTCGGCCTTTCGACAGTTATCCCCTCCTGGGATTAGCCATATCGCCGCTGTCAACGTCTTTACAGGAGACATCACCGTGATTCCGTCGGAGATTCACTCCGCCATCTATCGGACATTGCGCGTCTGGGCTGGGGAAGTGCGGACAGCGTGGACCTCTCTCCTGGCTTGGCGAGGAGACACCGTCGTGCAGGCGCATGACACGGACCTCCAGCTCCGCTCGTCTCGAAGCTCGCCAGTGATCGTGCTCCCGGAGCTTCGTCCCTTCGCGCCGCCCCAATGAGTCATCGTCGCGTCTCCTACTTCGGCCTCCCCTCCAACATCCCCACCCTTTGGCAATCTGCGCGGGCTCCTACTCTCTCCTACCGTGTTAAGGAGAACAGTGCGCCGCTATTGAGCGAGGAAAAGTGGGATGCGTGGTGGGAAGACTATATCAAGCTCGCTTTCTGTCTATTGGAGATAGAGTTCCGTTGGTCAGAAGCGGCCCCGTTCGGAGAAGGTCCAGAGCACCCAGAGGACAGCGTGGAGCTTCTGATCATCCAAGCCTTGAGAACGGCGGAGCAAGGTGACCTGCTGGGAATCGTATTCGAAAAGGTGGAGGAAGGTAATCTCGCCTTGATCACGGACGAATTGCTGGTGTTTCTGACTCAGGTGGGTGGACGATCTGCCCCTGGACATCTTGTCGCACAGTGACAAGCAGCCTGGCACCCACATGCTGTCTCGAATGCTCGAGCCGCACCTTGCGTGGTCCACGTGCACGAAGATTGACGAGGACAACTGTCTCTATCCTTCCCAGGCGCTCTACCTGGAGATCGACGTTACCGATCTCACGTCTTGGGACCCGATTGCGAGGCAAAACGCGGCGCAAGACGAGGAGATAGGGGGAGCAGACGAAGAGGAGGAAGAGCAAGAGCCATCGAGCGAAAAACGAGACGATCCAGACTACGTACCGGAAAGCGAAGCAGGGATAACCGACGAATCGAGCCAACCGCGGGACGATAACGAAGAGGAGGAAGAGGTGGAACCACACGAGGAAGAAGAAGAAGGAAACGAGCAAGCAAAGTCGGAGTACGAAGGATTCGAGGCTGAAGTGCGCGACGCGGCTTGAGAAAGAGCACAAGAGCACAAAAAACGAAGGCGCCAGAAGACCGCGGAGGGAAAACGGCCCGCGACAAACGATCCATCGATCGGGGACCCGTGGCGTGATCCGGAGCCACCAGAAGAAGAGGACGATGGAACCGCAGCAGAGGGATCACGAAGCAGAAGAAGAAGAAGTGAATCATCAGTTCCCTCCAGCCCCCCGTCCCGATCCTCCATTCGTTTACATCAAGATCTCGGCGTTCGGGCTTCGTCCCCGGTCGTTCTCACGCTGACCCCGTGACTACCTCATGCTTACCCGTCTTCCCGATAGACCCCCGTTCCCCGATGGTTGGTGTCCTTTCCCCCATCACCTTTTCTACCATCTCTAAGTTACCCGCCTTCTAGTCTCCGTTTATCCGCATGCCACCGCCCGTTCTGTGGTTGATTCCGTTCTCCTTCACGTGCTCCTGTTGAGCGCAGACTGGCGTGAATAGAACCACATAGAAATATACTGGAACTATTCCCGCCTGCGAAAACTACGAAGATTTTCGTGCCGCTTTGCGACGGACCCTTTCTACCATTTACCCCCCTCACATCGCCGCTTTTCGCCATCTCCATGAGGTCCCTCGCTTCCCCCGCATCCATCGCTCCTTCCTCTACGCTACCCTTCCTGATTTCGCCTATCCCGCCATCAATCGATTCATGCCCCCTCTTCCCCTGAACCATCCACCACCTCCACCTTTAGTGATTCGACTACCATTCCCCGGGAACGTCTAGGGTCTAGGTTCTACCCTCCTGCTCAACTGATGCATGGCTAATGCTCACGTGTCATAACAGCGGCACGTGTAATCCCCCTCCTTGGAGTGTCGAAAGCCCACCCTGAGGAATTAGTAGAAGAGCAGTCTTGCCACGTGGGTGACGTCCACACTCAATTGAATGGTAAGTGGCGTAAAGAGAGATGCTCCGCATGTCGATCTATTAGAGAAATCGACACGTGTCAACAAGTAAGCAGGAGCTCGCCAATATTGGAGCCCCCTGGGCGTCACATATGTGACGAACCACTTTCTGTAACGCGCGACTTTCTGCGCGGTTGCAACGAGGGGTCCTAAGCTGGGAAGGTTGGGCCAATTACGGGAGATCGAGATCGGTGGGAAATTGCATCAGTGTCCTTGCTTTTTCGTCTTTTCCGTCGCTTCTTTTCGAATGGCTGGGTTCGGAGCTGGGCGTGTCCTGGGATGGCTGGTTGATTGATTGGTCGGCTGGATGGCTGGCGCGCCTCCGTGCGCGCGATTAATAAATGTTGACGACGTTTCTTTCGCTTCGGTTTCGATCTTTTGGGCGTGGATATCGCGCGGGAATTTGCATTGTTCTTTTTGAATTTTTCATTCAAATCTTTTTCGAATTTTGTCGAGCCCTGATGGCTCTCGGAATTTCGGACTTTCCTCCCGGACCCTGTACTTTTGCTTTTCGCATTAGTTAGGAATTTAAAAATTTTGTAATTAGGACTTTCTCTTGACGCGCGGCGCCCTTATTTGCTTACGCGCTTCTTTTTGCGGCTGCAACGGAACTCTGATTAGTCGGCGCCTTTAATCGGGGGTGTAACTGTAATCTTGGGTTAACACCATTGTAACCGTATCTTTCTTCTTGCTCTTCGTCCTTCCCGCCCTCCTTCTCTTTCTTTTGCTGTGTTTTTGGACTGCATGCTCAGATCGATGCGTGGAGAGTGGCTACGTCCCCCACGCCGCGGCCCGGTCATGCAGAACGTAGGCAGTCCCTCTCTAATCTCCCCTCTAAGTCTTGGTAATTCCGTGTTCTTCGCGCATGCATGCACGCTATAAATTCCGGCTGCGCAATTAGTTAGCTCTCTTAACCCATCGTTGGAAGCTCGGGGTGGCGCGATAAGGAAGGGTCAGCACACGAGCGAAGTAAGAGGTGAGTAGAGCAGGAGTCGGGTGACCCGACGAGCTGGTGCCGAACGCGTGGGGTTGACGCGGGCCACGACGGACTGTGGGCGCGGGCGAACCTCACGGGTGTGGGAGGACTAAGCGGGGTGACGACTTCGTGGGTTGGTGCGCGACGACGGACTGTCCGCATCGGAGAAGAAGAGAGAGGAACATAGAGTTGAGGTTGATGGACGTGGTTTTGCTTCTTTCTTTTGTCTCCTCTTCCCCCTGTCTTGTGTATATAAATTTTGATTGCAGCCCCCGGGCGGTTTGCCCGTTCTTGTTTTCGTTTCAGCTTTCTGGAATCTGGACTTGGGTTTTTGCTCACACTTGTCCTTGCGATTTTCGTCTCGATTGCATTATGTGTATGATTCTGGAATAAATGGATGTATGGATGCCATGTTTGATTGCCTATCTTTTGCTGAGGAACCCTTGTCTTTGCTTTTGTTGATCGCATTTCATGCACTCGTGTGTAGAATAGGGATTTTGCGCAATCGATAATCCTGTCTTAGTCTTTGCTTGTCTTTTGATCGAGCTGTTTGTGATCATTGCATTTTGCATAACTAAGAGCATCACGAAGCGATTAGGCGGTCGGATGCCGGGCTCGGTGAACGCCGCGCGAGGACACGTGTAAGACGCGATCTAAGTTGCGCACTTACACATATCCACGGGCGTCGACTCATCGGGACCATCAATCCGTCCGATTGAGAGTGGYCATCTCGAAATCCGCCACGGCACAATCGTCTCGTACAAGCACACGTAAGTCCAACGACAGTCGCGCGGCCTGCACGTGCTTGCACGAGGCAACTGTGACCCGTTCTTTAGGCARCTCATAATATCGCAATGTCATRATGACGCRATCCTGGGATTCYGRCTCATCCTACGACCGGGATTATTTCACCCCTTGGATAAACGAACTCCTAAGGCAGCGATACCCCTGCCACACTGAGAATCGACTGTGTCCTCGGGATTTCCACTGCRCCACCACTAGCGACCCCCGGTGCTCTGATTTCCCTTCTCCCGACCATACCTACTACTTTATCCACCYRGGATTTGTCGTCATCACCACYAGTTTCCCTCCTTTTCGCCTTCTTCTCGCGTATCATCAACTCAGCGTCGTTCCGTGGCCGGCCATAGCCCCCTATTGGCCCAGCACGCCCTGCGGAAATTGCCGATGTAGCGGCGAGCGGAGAACCCCGGAATTCCGAAGGCCCAACTCAAACACGCAGCGCCCTGCGCCGCGTGGCGGCCTCCGACGGCCCAACTTTTCGGGACCACCTCCTCCGCGGAGGGACTTCCCCGTAAGCCGTCGCCCACAGAACCCAGGCCCCATCGGGCCTTGAGTCCCTTACGCACGCGCCCCNTCGGGACCACCTCCTCCGCGGAGGGACTTCCCCGTAAGCCGTCGCCCACAGAACCCAGGCCCCATCGGGCCTTGAGTCCCTTACGCACGCGCCCCGTATTCGCCTAATTGCATTCATACCCCTACGACTCCCCCACTTTCCCCAAAAATCCTTGGCACACCCCTTTTCGCACTTCCAGGCCCACATCCCACTCCGATCAGGAAGTCGCGCTGGGCGTGAGGTTGGGGCGTCACAGTATGATCCACTTTGCCAGCTTCCAACTGCACAATCTTCTGCTTCGCAAGTTCCAGTTCTTGTTCTGCTTCCCTTCTTCCGTTGAGTTCTAACAGCCGAAGCTCCTTGAGCTTATCGACCTCCATGTGCTGAAGTTTTTAAGTTCCTTGTAGTCAACTCGTACCGCCGGAGTCTTGGTAGGCATGATGCGAGGCAACATCGTTGCCTGGACACTGGGGGTGGACAGAGCCACTCAACCCCGCTTGGAGCCAGGTCGGATCGCTTCTTGTCTCCATGCCTCGGCTTCAACTTTAGCATCATCTCGAGATTGTCGAAGAATCTGGATCTCCTGCTCCATTTTCTCCAAACGTCTTCTAGCAGCTGCAGCCTCGTCAAGTTGAACCTTCATCCTTTCCTGTTCCGCCATCAACTTGGCGAGCACGTCATCATTAGTTTGAGTCTTCGCTATCAGAACAGTAACGCGGAGCGCCTCAGCCCTATGCGATAAGTCAATCTCATCCAGCCTCTTGCCGGATAGTGCCAAGCAAACAATATCTACTAGTCGCTTGTTCATGTTGTCCATCATCGATTTGTTCAGTTCTTCTCTCTCCAGCTTTTCCTTAGCTCTCCTCTCTTCATCCTCCTTCTCTTTCTTGATTCTATCATCCTCAGCTTGTTTGTTCTTTTCCCGTTCGATCTCCGCATCGTGTCTGACCTTGATCGCAGCCACCGTGCTCTCGAGGTACTCCAGTCGCTGCCGTGCCTGATGCCAGCCATTACCCTTGGCATAGTTGGAGGTATTCTGGTATCCACCTGCCATGTGAGGAACGGCAGCAGAAGAAGACGCAGCACCACTAGCAGTAGTAAGAACGGGTGTAGACACGGACGAGAGCGGAGCTAGGTTGAGCTTGACGAGGGGGGTGGGGGCACCATCGAACAAAATGGTTGGGATCACCACAGTTATAACAATCACGGACAATGGAAGACGAGTGAAAGTTAGACACACTAAGACTGGTCGAAGCCACGCAATCACGTCGTATGATTCCGACGGAGGTTAATCGATGTAGTTGTGAGAAACACAGCACCAATGGATGGAGCCTCCCCGATAGTGCTAGTGGTGTCTGCTCTTATCAGCACCTCTGGAAAAAAAAAAAAAAAAAACTTCGTTAGATCATTCATCAAAAAACAAAGAATGCCCATCTGGCTTCAAGGTGGACTGTTGATAGGTAAAATAACGATGCCTACCCAAGAGCGTATCTCAGAGCACACTCACACTAGCGCAATCTTGAATGTACCTGACCGTATTACGGCCCTACTCGGATGTATCTGACCGCAATTCCGCCGCGAAATAAGTAAAACAGTCCTAATGTGAGTATGCTGCCCTCAGTGGGTACATTCATGAGCTGTTGCCATACAGATCGGAGTTCGAGACGATGAAAGTTGATAAGTCAAGCTACTTTTTTTTTTTTTTTTTTTTCCTGAATTGCCTGGGGCCAGTCAGCTCAATATGACGATATCCCAAGACGGTGTAAAAAAAGAAAAAAAAGAAAAAAGGAAAAAAAATCTGAAGCCCACCTGACTACAGGAGTTCAAATCCTGAATGTTTTTTGCCAACTCCTGCGGGAAGATGCACTCGCATTGGTTTTCATATTGCAGTCAGATGCATCGGCGCCAGATTCAGGCAGGCCAAGTCCCACTAGCAGCGTTGAGCTACCTCAACGCCTGAATCTGGACGTCTTTGTGGAGACGTGCAGTTCAGGAAACTCAACACCATTTCTGCACATCTCCGCAAAAGCGTCCAGATTCAGGCGTTGAGGTAGCTCAACGCTGCTAGTGGGACTTGGCCCCAGGTCGGAATATGGCCTCAGGTAGGCCTTTTTTTTTTTTTTTTTCAGGTAGGTTGGCGAGGCCTGAATCTGGACACTTTTGCGGAGATGTGCAGAAATTACCGCAGTTAGGATTGGTGAAATAGGACTGAATTATCAAGAAAGGGAAAAAAAAAGAAAAGAAAAAAAAAAGCACGCATTCAACCCGCGTAAACGCGTTTTGCAGGATGAGACTCCGTAGAGCAAACCACCCACCTCTCCCTTCCTCCTCCTGGTCCTCCACATCCAAGCCCCCACTGGCATCAGGTCTTCATAACGTATTCCGGGGGCCGGCTTCTCGCTGGCACGCGCTCGCTCGCAGAGTGTCTGCTGTCGCCATCGCCCAAAAAGCTCCAATAACGGCAAGTCTTCGTCTTCAGTTCGGGTCGGGAAATTACCCTTTTTGGAAACTATATAACAAAGGAGCTGTCGGAATCTGCCACGTTGCGTGCGCAGGTTGATAGACCAATTATCTGCATTTCTTCGTTTCTTTGAGTTTGCTATGGAGGAGTCCATGAGTTATATATATCGTGTTTTTTTTTTTTTTTTTGCTTTCTTTCTTTTTTTCTTTCTTTCTTTCTTTTTCATTGTTTTGTTTATGAGCTTTCGAGTTTTTTTTTTTTAATTTATAATTAAGCTATAGGGCTCGCTAGACTGCACAACAGTGTATATGTATCTGTGGCTCACACTCGTCCCCATACATTCAAGATGTGTGAGCAGCTACCACTCACAATCAGGGGGATTTTTTATTTTTATTTTTTTTATTTTTTTTGGGCAGGGGGATTTTTTTCGTTCTTTCGGTTCTGTGTAAAAAATACGTGTTACCGGATCTAACATTTTTTTTTTCTTCCCCTTTTTCAAAGGGCGATGGCCTTAATTCATCGGACTCACCAGCCCAGGTAAATCAATCTTGTGTCTAATCTGACATAGGGTGGCCTTTTCAGCCCAGGGTTATTACAGTATTAGTTACTTAATTAATAACTCCCTCTCATTGCATTTACTACCTCTTCCCCCGAATGCGACGTACGGTCATTATAGCTGTACTTGGTGTATCTTTCAGTGGCCACAGTCATGTGATGAGTGTGCGACACGTTCGCTTCCAACGTCGCTTCTCTCTCTCTCTCTCTCTCTCTCTCTCTCTCTCTCTCTCTCTCTCTCCCTTCATCTTTCGCTCCTTTTCCTACTTTCCTTTCGTCTTCTTCATTTTGTCGGGGAAAGGGAATCCTCCCTCCATCGCCATCGCCATCGCCATCGCCATCGTCATTGTCGCTTCTTTCATGTTGCGTTGCTATCGAAACGCGGTTGGGAAGTGGAAGACGAAGACGATCGTTCGCCATAGCTCATCGTCATCTTCGTATTCTTTGGTGTCCATCATATTCACCATAGCTCCCACCAGAGCTCTAAGTGCGAGAGCAGCGTGAGAGAAGCCGTATCGTCTTCTCCGTCCTTTTTTTTTCTTTTTTTCTTTTTGATCAAATCAAAAGCAATTGCGGATAACGGGAATCGAACCCATATCGGAGCTTGGAAGGCTCACGGTGCGATTCAGCTCAGCTCAGAGCTATCGGTGATTGCTGTAGTTGCAGTTGAATACGGTTTTACTATTCTCTTATTTCTTCATTATTTGTCTTTATTTGTTAAATTGTTATGTATTTATGTTCTTGTAAATTCGTTTGATTATTTATGTAAATTCGCTTTATTATTTATTGACAGTTATTGTTATTTTTTTTTTTTTTGTAAATTGGTTGCACTAAGTGGGGATTGGAAAGGCAAGCGCGTGCACGAGCCCTCTGCCACTTGGAATTGTGTTTTCAGTCTTTTGCTCAATTTAGATTGCGCTCGGGGCGAGGTCCCACTTGCAAAGAGGATTGGACTTAACGCTTGAATGTGGACGTGTTTGTGGAGAGGTGCAGAAAATCGCCATTTATCTTTTTTATTGCATCTCCGCATAGAATACACATCCAGATTCAGGTGCTTAATCCCGTCCCTCCTCTTTGCAGAAAATCGCCATTTATCTTCTTTATTTCATCTCCGCATAGAATACGCAGTCATTGGAACCACTCCCTCGGCGATTTACTGCAAGTTTTTTCCCACGGGCCCAAGTGGGTCGGTGTACGATTCAACCACAGATAGCAAAAGAAGTGCCAGGTGGAGTCAACCTGGCTCTATTTTTATTTCTATTTTTATTTCAATATGTTTTTCATGATCTTTTAGGTCTTAACGATATTGCTATTTGTTAAAAAAAAAAAAAAAAAAGTGCTTTTTTGTGTTTTTCTCTCTCTGTGCTAACCATGTTTGTTCAGACCGATGGTTGAAACGTTAGGTAATCCCGCAAGGCGATTTTGGTAGAAGCCCCCCTCTGAGGAGTGCCAGGAGAGAGCGCAGCCTGACCGAAACGCCGGGGGGAAACTGCGATGAACTTTCATTGTGAGACATGCGGAGAAGTTTTGCAAAAAAATGTCTGTATTCGATGCTTGTACCAGAAGCAGTCAGTCTACGGCCACTGTTTTTTTTTTTTTTTTTTTTTTTTTTTTTACGGCCACTGTTTTCACTCTTCCTTCTTCTCCCTTTTTTTTCTTTTCTTGGTAATTTCTGAGATTTCCTCGCATGTGGACCGTTCATCCTGCAGCTGCTGTTCGATTGCCGTCGACGGTATCTCGACTCATTGTCTGCCTTCGCCATCGCCATCGCCATCGCCATCGCCGTCTTCGTCTTCTTCTTTTTGCTTTGAGTTGTCGTCACATCTTATCATCATGGCCCCTGTGTTGGAGGATCCGAATCCGTACTTCAATGTGAAGGATTGGGGTCGTTCTCGCGGGGGGGACTTCGGCTTCAGCAGCGCGGCTCCAGTGAGTACCAAGTATGAAGCCTTGTTTCTGCTCCAGGTGCATTGCGATCCCCAATACGTTCTTTCCGTCAATAAGGATGACCCACGTGGGCCGCTTGTTGTCCTGGCAAACAAGGGGAAGCCCGCTCAGATATGGAAGAAGGTCGACTATGGAAGTGT